ATTATGAATTTAAAAACTTAAAATTTATTTTACATATTTTAAAAATTAAGAGTTTATAATATTTTTTGTGTAGTATTTTATGATTTATTTTACACATTAACTCTTTAACAATTATCTGGACCGCTCCATAGATCTGCACCATGGGGCCAACTGCCAATGCCCAATAGAATGGTCACCCATGCCTAGAGAAGACAATGAAATGTCAATAATACCCCTGCTAAGCCACATGCGGCCAAATGATATTTTAATTGGGAAAATTTTAGTAACATCTCTTGGCCTAATTTGATTTTAGTCAAATGGTACTAACATTTTGAAATTTCATAGACTAAAATAAAATTAAAAAATAATTAAAATGATATTATTATTTTTGGTAAATCTAAACATATAAATAACTCATATAAAAATTAATAATAAAAAAATAAATAACTAATGTAGGTGAAATATGCAATTCTTATTCTACTTACGTCAATTGTTTATTTTTTATATATTAATTATTTATTTTTTTATACAAGTTATTCACACTATTAGATTTTTTATATTAAATATGGTTAAGGATATTATACTCCATCAAAATAATTTAAATCATTTAGTTAGAAATTTTCTAAATTTATTTATTTATAATTTATTTTTTAATATTTAGATGTGAGATTTTTTTTTTATGTTCTAATTTTTCATCTAGTACTTATTTCCCTCTTTTTTGTCATTTTCTTCTTCTGGTTGCCTGAGCTTGAATTCGCTTTAGTTTCATCTATTCAATTTCTTTTCCTTCTTTATTTTTTAATCTCTTTATTTTCTTTTTTCATCTTTCATTCTTTCATTTTCTTTTCTTTTCTCTCTCTATTGTTTTTTGGTCCTCGATTGAATGGCTCATGATAATTAGTATTTCACCAAATTAGCTTAAATTATTTGATTATATTCTTCTAAAATTTATATATTTATAATCTATCTTTTAATTTTTAGATATAAAACTTCTTTCATGTCTTAATACACACACCTAGTTTTACAAGAGACAGTCAAGATTTTAAGGGCTTTGACTAAAATTAAATTTGACCAAGGAGTTCTTATCTAAAGTTTCCCCAATAAATTTCCCGCACCGCGTCTTGTGCGTTGGATAAATCCAGCGTGTTTTTTCTTCCCTAGCCACTTGTGCTTAGCCGATCATCAAGTTGATGTATAACATTATATGATATATACGTTCCTTGGCTTCCTCGAAATGTCCAGCGATTATATTTTTTTTTTTCACTTCATTTCTTTTTTCACGACTATTTACAATCCATACAAATTAAGAATGTTAGATTTGATTATTTTTATTAAATATACATAAAAATATTTTTAAATAATTAAAATTGATAACAAATTTTTTAACATACTTTCAGTTTAGGGGCATTATTTTCCAACTTCTTACAAATAATCTTTCCTCTTGAGAATTTATCAAATATACTCATCTCATTTCATTAAACTTCATCCACATTCTTGTAATTGTATTCCCATTTTCATACCCTTAATTATAAAAATATTCTATCAACCAAACCAATTTTTACAACTTAAGAACTCAAAGAAACGAGGTTAAGGACATATCATGTTGAAAAAAAAAAAAATTTAAGTTGTGCCCTTTCTATTATTCCAAAGGCCGTGTTTATTTTGGATCTCAAAAGACATGTTTCAATTGGGGCCCAAGCGTAATAATGACCAATATATGATATACTACCTCCATGCCTATTTTGTAAAATGTTTGTTTTGAGTGATTTAATATTTCAAAATTATCCCTCATGATACAAAATTTTTTACCCTGAACTATTTTATTCTTTAAATATTTCTCGCTCCCCACTCTTATCCAATGAAAAGTATTTTTATAAGTGTATATATATATTGTAGAAATCAAGATTTCTAACCATATTTAATTGACTTCATTAGTATTTGACTATTCATAATTTTATCAAAAAAAATATTGGGTAAAGGGGTATTTTTATCTTGAAATATTCTTGAAGTTTTTTCATTCCTAAAGTAATTAAATTGAACCATCCTCTACCCTATCGTTAAATCCTCAAAAATATCTGATAAAAAAAGCTGAGTTGGACTGAATTTTGATTTAATAAATGTTTATGGGGATTTTGGAAGATAGAAGATGTTCCGATTAAATTACTTGAGGAGCAAAAATACTTCAACAAATATTTCAAAATATTGGAGAGTACTTCAGGTGCAAAAATATAAGTTTACCAAAAAAATATTTAATTTTATACAATGGGATAGTGGGAGTATCTAACACTTTGAGCTCATCCAAATTAAAGAAGATTTCTCAAATTTTTTTTAAGTAAAATACATCACTAAATTGATGTGAATGGTGTTTTGATCTCATTATATTGCCGGTCAGCTTTGATGTTTTGCATTTTTTTTTAAAAAATTATGTTAAAAAATTTTTATTTAATTAAACCCCGATAATGCAGCTTGCGGATTTAGTTTGACAATATCATGTATGAGATAGTGATTCTCACCAAAATTTAAAAGGAAAAAAAAATTGAGCTGTAGCATGATATTAAAAGTTTCTAAATTAAATTAAGGATAAATTGTTGTCACATACTTTCAATCCACATTAATGATAAAATTAATATCCTATGCCTATTTACAAGGAATCCATACTAGAAGAGGATGATAAAAAAAAAAAAAAAGAATCCACCCCATTGACCTGATCTACACAGTAAAAATAGAAAGAAGTATGACTAGCTGGTAATTAGAGTTCGATCTTTTTCTCGTCGATATAACAAAGAAAAAGAGACTATTATAAGATATTTGTCGTTAGGTTTTAGTAGTATTTTATGACACCCCTTTATTGAATATTCCCAGAAAATAAGGCACCTTAGCACTTCAGGGGAAAGAAGAAGGGCACATTTTTATTTCTAAAATATTCTCTAACAGCATTCAGTACATTAAAACTATTTGATGTAACTTTTTTACTTTTAAAGTAATTGAAATATAGTATTCATTAAATAATAGATGTTGATTATTAATATGATGTGAGAGAAAGTAATTTGACTATCTAACAAACATTTGTGAGTATTTAATGTTAGGGTGAAGAATGTCATGTTTTAATTTCTTTAAAAGTGAAGATGCTACATCAAATAATTCAATATTGAGTGTTTCTTATAGAATATTGCAAAGATAAAAATGTACCTTTATCTAAAGAAGAAAGGGAGAATAAAAAATTATACTTAAATCTCTAACAACACAATTAAATATTTTAATATTCATTAACAATTAATTATACGAAAACAACAACTAAAAGAATTATCATTTTATTATGCTCAATTGTCAATGAATCTTGTGACATCTAATTATATTATGAGATCATATCCATACATAATTCTTTCAAAAAAAAAGTTATAACAAATTAAATTAAACTTTATTATATATGACGTATGAATAATACAATTTTTTTACGTTATACATAAACTTATATGCATAGAATATAGATGTATCATACATGTGTGAGTCAGTTTAAAGACGATGACAAAGTCAAACATTTTGAATACTCGTTGACTTGTGGATATTACCATTAGCTACGCTCAGCCCCGCGCCTCAACCCCCACGTGCTTCCCCACCGACTTTTCCTCAAGGAATTATTAATAGTACTTGGTCAATGTCTAATATGTTTAAAATTAATATATTTTTCATTTTAATGCATAAAAATATATACTTATAATTAAATTTTTCTATTGGATTTACTAATTTGATGGGTTTTGACCGGCCGGCCGGTTTTATCTCTAACTTACCTATGGCTATGCCTATCATTAAGGATAAATGATATTTAAGTATAAAAGTTGAATTAATGACGATTAACTCTTGAAACTTTTTTTAAAAGATAAATTATAAATATTAATTCAGACAATTGTAAATTGAAATCTCAATGATAACTAAATTAAGATTTACATTTGATATTTACAACTCATTTTTTTTAAAAAATTATCAATTAACCTAATTGTCTTACTCTTTTGGAACCTAACTATTATTCTCCTATTATTAGTTATTAAAAAAAGTATGATGAAATCTATCATTCTCCCTATTATGATGTTCCTGTATGTCTCAATATATTGATTAATTTATTATGATGATGTGAGGATGATAGGCTTCCATGTATATCCTTTCATAACCAAATAAAACTCCACGCCAAACTTTCTTTACATATATATAATAATATCCTTTGTTTTTCTGTCCTCATTGACAAGTTGTTGCTCAACACCAATATGATAACTTTATAAGTGAGTATACGTTTTGCTGTAAAATTGAAATGTAGGCATAGGTCATAGCATTGAATATATGAAAACTTAATTGAATTTTGCAAAGACAAAAATTAAAAACATTATTTAATTTAGCCATTGTCATTTGGCCTAATGTTTTTCGTATATAATTTTAGAATAATTACAATAATTCATATTCATTACTCATGTAGCATGATAAACAAATTTAAAATTTTTTACCAGCTCACTCTTCATATGTAATAAATAATGTGACTTAATCGATCTTTCTTTTGGCATAAGAAAGGAGTGCATAAACACCAAACACTAAGGTTGATATGGTATAAGAGATTTGACTTGTCTTGAAGAATTTTTTTTAAAGTAAATATAAAGGATTAATTTTATTTATTTACAAAAGTATAATTATCTCCAATGTGCAAAATATATCTATTTAAAAATTTATATTAGAATCAAAAATAGTAATTTTTAAAATTATAAATGTTCAATAATTATGCATTATTTTTACAAAATATCAAGTTAAGAAATGAATTTAAAGTTTCAAATGAAATTAAAATATTGAATTCAAATGATACTTTTACGTAATAATGTTAACTGACAGTCACAGTGATTCGAGTACAGTACGACGTGAACGTGTGGGGGTTACCAAACCCGCATCAGATTGCACATTTTGGAAAGTATATATCAACTACCACTCAACTTGACTAAGTTGATTGCACCAAATTATATATATATATATATATATTTATTTATATGTATGTATGTATGTAGCCATGGTTAGATCCTTGCCTCCGTTCTCAAGTCTGCACAGTAATATCCATATATCTTTGAAGCTATTCTTTTTTTGTTCTTCTCATTTATTTCATCTTCTTGCATAAGAAATTTCCTTATTCACTATGCCAAATTCTTCATCATCATCTCAGAACAAACATATTGCAGCCATTGCCTTCCCCTTTGGTAGCCACCAGCTTCCTTTCCTGAATTTAGTAGTCAGGCTAGCACAGGCTTGTCCTAATGTCACATTTTCATTCATCAGCACTTCTAAATCCAACCAAACTCTATTTTCCAAGCCTGCAGACATCCCTGGAAACATCAAATCTCACGATGTTTCTGATGGAATCCCGGAGGGACATGTCCTAGGAACACACCCATTTGAGAGACTGAACCTGTTTCTTCAAGCCGGTCCTGAGAATATCCAAAAGGGTTTAGATTTGGCTGTGAAAAGCACAAACCAGAAAGTCACTTGCATTCTCTCTGACGCTTTTGTAACCCCTTCTTTTGTTGTGGCTCAGAACCTGAATGTTCCTTGGATTGCACTTTGGCTTCCACTTTCAACCTCGCTCTCTGTCCATTTCTACACTGACTTGATACGCCAACGCTACTGTTCAGATAGAAACAAGACCAGATCCTTGGATTTCCTTCCTGGTCTGTCTCAGATACGATTTGAAGACATCCCAGACGACGTCGTGCCACGTTCTGGTGAAGAAGAAGAGCCACTATTTTCAAAAGCACTAGCTTCTATGGGAGAAGTACTACCTCAAGCCAGATCAGTAGTAATTAGTTTCTGTGAAGAGCTTGACCTTCCTCTCTGTGTTCAGGACATGAAGTCCAAATTACAGTCTATGCTTTACATTGGTCCACTTACTTTGTCAACATTTGACACAACCACAGACACAGACAAGGATCCAAGTGGTTGCTTGCCATGGTTGGACAAGCAAGGTTCTAGGTCGGTGGTTTATATCAGCTTTGGAACTGTGGTGTGTCCCCCCCAACATGAGCTTCTAGAAGTTTCAGAAGCACTTGAAGCTAGTGGGTTTCCATTTTTGTGGTCTCTAAAGGATGATCAAAAGAGGCTCTTGCCAAACGGGTTTGTTGAGAGGACATGCATGAGAGGGAAAATAGTACCTTGGGCTCCTCAAACACAGGTTTTAGCACATGGGTCTGTAGGAGTGTTTGTGACTCACAGTGGAAGTAACTCAGTGATGGAGGGTTTGGCCAATGGAGTTCCTATGATCTGTAGACCTTTCTTTGGAGATCATGGGATGGCTGCAAGATTGGTGGAGGATATATGGAAGGTTGGGGTCAAAATACAAGATGGGGTTTTCACCAAAAATGGATTGCTTCAAAGCTTGAATCTGATTTTGGTGGAGAAGAAGGTAAGAAGATCAGAGAAAATGCCTTGAAGCTCAAAGAGACTATGCAGAAAGCCGCTGGGGCAGGAGGGAAATCTGAGCAGGATTTCAAGACTTTGGTAGAAATAATTAGTAGATCTTAAAGAGTTAAAGTTCATTTCTATCTTTGTTTTCGATTGGTAGAAATATCATGTTCTACTTCAAAAAAAAAATGACATTTAAAATCCAAACTCTGAATTAATAATAGTTATATGCTTGATAAAAAAAATTTTGAAAAATGGGTTGCAAATATATATTCAAACAAATACAAATTCCAAAGTTTTAATAGAAAATATTGTATTTAAATTTTAAGTATGAATTACATATTATATTTGTGATTTCTACTCATAACTGCATGTTTAAATTAATATTTGTAACTCATTGTTTGAGAAAATTTTGTCGAAAATATAATTGTTATTAATTTAAAATTTTAGGACCTAACTGTTATTATCCCAACAAAAAGTTTCATGCTTGTCTAATAAATGTTGCGTAGTAATTTCTTGATCATAATTTTTCTCCTTGCTTCATGGAAGCATATATTGTAATTTCAATGAAGTTGTCGTTTTTCTCCCTCACTAGTCTTGGGTTTTAGTTGATAGCGTTATATGTTTGAGAATATGGTAGGCCTATTAGTGGAGACCGGTTTTGGTGATCATCACTGTAGTGAGATCTGGATCATCTAAATTTTAATCTGAATGGTTTAGATTTTAAATATTATTATATATTATATTTATTAAAATAAAAATATATAAAATTATAAAATAATTTTAGGAAAAATTAATCTTTTAGTCCTTCAACTTTTAACTCACTTGTAACTCAGTCCCTCAGCTATGACTCGCTGTGACTCCGTCCCTCAACTATAACTCGTTGCAACTTAGTCCCTCAACTTTTGATTTACCTATAACTCGGTCTTTATTTTTAATTTTTTTTAAAATTTTTTTATCAAATAAGAGGGATAAAAAATGCTCATATATTATTTTAAAATATCCTTTTCTTATTCATTAATGTGAGATATAAGCTAACATAAAAAAATATTAACAAAAGTTAAGGGACTAATTTGTAAGTGATTCAAAAGTTGAGGGATTGAGTCATAGGCGAGTTATAGTTGAGGGACTGAGTCACAGCGAGTCATAGTTGAAGGACTAAGTTACAAGTGACTTCAAAATTGGAGGACTAAAAGATTAATTTTTCATAATTTTAATAAATTTTTTATTTTTAATATGGCCTAGATTTAATTTAGAGGATTCAATTTAATACTAAAATTTTTATAATTGATATATATTAACTATCCAGATGTACTTTGCACATGCCAGATTAACTGTGATATGGCTTGTACAGAATACATCTAGATAATTAATACATATTAATTATAAAAATTTTAATATTAAATTGGACCTTTTAAATTAAATTTAGGCCATATTAAAAATAAAAAATTTATTAAAATTATTTTATAATTTTTATATATTTTATTTTAATAAAAATAAAAATAAAATATTTTATAATTCTTTAAATTTAAATTATTTAAATTAAAATTTAATGATTTAGATTTTACTTAGTGAGTGTGCGTGTCAGAAATGGCAGGCCTATCAGAAACGTTTATATGATGAGACAAAACTGAACATTTTGTTTTGTTCTATTTTTTTCCCCCTTTTTGGGAAATGAGTAATGGGAAAAGAGTAATTTAATGCTTATTAAGAGAGCATAGGGTGTATGCATTAGGCTCTGCACGTTTAAGATGAGAAAGTTAACATCGTTCCCAGTTTTTATTATCAATCCTGTATCCCTGCAAACATCAATAAATTTATATTCAAGGATTCGGTGTGCTCAAGTGTATGCATGAGAAAGTTTCAAAACCAGTTAATTAATCCGTCCCTGCTGCTGAAGATACAATAATATGGGAAAAATTAAAGCTTCATATGAGAATTATTCGGTGAAAGAAAATAGTCTGTGTCCAAAAGAGGAGCCTGAAACTATGGAGAACACACTCATATATGCTTCTGCTCTGTGATTGGACCAAATTAAAAAAAAAAAAAAACTTTGTCCAGATTATGGTTTTGATGGTGAGAGAAAATTAAAGCTTTTTTCTTGGATGGGATGAATCAGATGGTGGAGCTTCTCTCTCTGATGCATGGTGATTGTGGGAGATTCAATTTAGACATTTCAAGAGAGAGAGATAGATACGAGAAGGGAATAGAACTCATTTTGCACCTAACACTCAAATATTTGGTAATTAAAGATTTGGTCCATAGCCTCAAGAGCGTGGATCAAATCTTGTTGGTCATACATGTAAAAGCCTTGTTGGTGGGCAATCTTTAAATATCTTTATAAGTTTTTATTAAATCTAAAAGCATGTACAAACCTTGTTGAGCCTTTGAGATTCAATACATTTAAACTTGTGTTACGTTCACCAAAAAAAATATTTGTCAAGTAGACTGAGTAATTTCTTAATGGATTATTAGAGCTAACGGTAGGGGACAAAAGATGACTCAATAATTGTGAGGCCGAAGTAATATTGGCAGTGTAGGCATGGCATTGATTTCTAATTGAGAAAAAAAGTTAAAATTTCTATTTTTATTGTAAAATAAAACACGGAAGAACGGAATAGGAGTAACTTACGGAAGTCGAGAATTCTCTCTATGTGAAAGGTGGCTCGCCGCAGTTGAGGAGGATAATTTACGATCGACCAAGAAAGTTCGAATAGTTTACAATGATTATTATCTTTCAGATATTATCATAAATAGTGTTTTGAGAACCATTGGAAAGCTTCTGGGTGAGGTTGTTAAAGATTGATTATGCGACGGAAGCCCAAGACAAAGGAAAATATGCAAGAATTATTGTTGTTCTTGTGGATTTACTGCAACCCCTTGTTGCTCAAATCAAAGTGGAAGGTATGTTTTCCAAGAATATGAAAGATCAATGCAAAGAATACGATCCAAATACCAGAAAAGAAGCTACTCAACTTGTAATGGAAGCATCAAGAACGATGGAGATTGAAAGGATTACTTTCAGCAAGAGCCAGCCGGTAATGGATGTTGAACAACCGCCGGCGACGGACGACACCCTATTGCGGCCAGTGGATGTTGCATCCAAGACCCAAAAAAGGAAATTGAATCCTGAAATGGATGGAGCAAGATCATGGAGATTATAAACCATAGGGGATAATGAATTTTTAGAACCTGAATACAAGTAGGGTTATATAGATTAACTCAAATAATTGATTATAAAGGTTAGGTTGGATTAAAAAAAATTAACTCAAATAAAAATAAGTTTAGACTATATAACTTGTAAACTATATGGACTAACCTTGATGGGTTAGAGTTAACCAATTTAGTCCATATTATTTTTAAAAAAAACTATAAAAGGAAAAAATTTTGTAGATATAAATGGTATTGGGGGTAACTTACTTAGATTAATCCATATATTTTATACAAATATTATAGATTAAGTATATTTAAAATGAATCATTAAAAAAATATCAAATTAAAACTTATCATTTAGGCGTATTATTTTAAAATTCATACAATATAAATTTAAAAAAATAAATGAATTGATGAAATAACCTATTTAACTCACCAACTTTTAAAGATTGGGTTGGGTTGGAATTTTTTAAACCCATATAAAAATGGGTTATTAAACCCAATCCAACTCATATCCTCTAGCTTATATGGGCTAACTTATATAATCTGGGTTGACTCATTTTTGTTTTAAAAATTTTTAATCCTTCAAGTTTGTTTTAATTATTAATTTAATCCTTTAAATTTAATTTTATCAATTTAGTCTCTTATGTTTACTTAAATTATCATATGAATTCTTTAAGTTTTAAAAACACAAATTAATTCTTAAAAATATAATGTGTAAGTACTAAATGAAAACATATTGGAAGGATGATAGTTAAATCACAAGGATATTTAATAGTAATTTCATGATTCACAATTGAAATGAGCATAAGGGAACCCATAAAACAATTTAGGAATTTCAAAAATGCTAAAACAATAATAAATTCCAACATTCATATGTAAGAAAAATGAAAAATCACTCACCTATATCGTAGAGCCAAAATAGAGCGAGGAAGGATGAGATAGAATCTCAAAATTAGTGGGCAAGAGGTCGAAACTTCAAATAAATGATGAGGGAAGGCTGATTTTAAGGTTGAAAGTTTGGAATGAGAGTGGGTTGGATGAAATCATGGAGAAAATGGTTGGAGAGGCAAATTCACTATTGACAACGTAATGAAGAAGATGAAGAATATGAGGACTTTTTAAATTTTAATACTTGATGGTTGTTTATTGAAACTATTAAATATATTGCTTTATATTTGACGGTTGTTTACTAAAACTATCAAATATAAGAAATGTATTTTCCTAAAACAAAACTATTTTCTTAAACTTGATGGTTCTCTTTCACAACTGTCAAACTTAAAATTATATATTTTATTATATTTGATGGTTATAAAATCACGCCTTTGTATATTTAATGATTTTTTAAATAACCATCAAATATAATGTATCATTTATTATCAGATTTGTAACACTGATGCAATGAGAACAACCCAAAAATATGAGGTCAAGAGTACACCACATGCGTTGGAGAGTGAAGAATTTAATGGTATTTTGTTGACCATACAGTCCGCCGGTCCTCATCATTTAATGATATACGGTTTTTGTATGTGGATGGGTGTATGCCTTCATTTGACGGGGAAGGGTTATGGTAGCGCTATTTTTTTTTAATGGTTTTAAATTCAATTAAAGGTTCCGATTTAAAATTTCTAATTTATATTTCTAATAATAAATTTATGTTTTATTTTAGATTCTATATATATTAAAATAAAAATATTTTTGCCAACTAAAATTAACATGAATGATAAAGACTCCTGTTATTTAAATAAATGGTTGGAACTAAATTCAAATCTCAACCCTTGCATAGTAATTTAATTGAGACATGTCTACATATTATTCTTAGTGGGAGGGAATCGTCTCCTAGAGGGACAAGGATTTTCTCCTTTTTTTTCCCCTTCTCTTCCTTTCTCTTTTTTTTTTTAACCATTAACTGAGATTTTGATGGTTCATATTTGATCTCTATACAATTATTATTAAATATTAAATTATAAAAAATTCAAACTGCTAAATTATATGAAAAATAAAAATCATGGTAAAACCAAAACAATGTAAAACATTTGTATAAAAAATTAAATTTAAGTCATTCAAATTTTAATTTAATGGTTAAAAATTAAGAAGAGAGG